AAGTTTTCTGTGCATAGACAAGCATATTACACACCACATACTCTCTCTTTCCCTCTTTATTTTGCACTTTGCATCTGGCACTCGACTCTGTGTGTAGTCTGCATATGTTCTGCACATCTGCCCCTTTTCCAGCTGCAGGGTCTTCCCCGCGTAGGCAGCCCTGGTTACCTGACCAACCCCCTCCAAATGGGCAGCAGTTTCCTTACAGAGCTTCTCCATTAGCAACAGTGTTGCCAAAAGCATCCCAGGATGCACACTTAGCACAATGTCAGCAACAGTGTTGCAGTGACCATCCTCAAGTCATGCTCAGCCTGGAGTAAGAGCCCACCTGTGGGGAAAGGTATGGGGAAGGAGAAAGGAGAGGGTGTCCAGGCAGAGGCAGAGCAGGGGACAACAGCAAGGACCGACAAGTTCCCCAGGAACCCCTCTTGGGGTGTGGGGAAGGGGTCTATGTGGCGAGCCAGCTCCATGTTGAGTTCAGACTTCTGTGGGTCCCAGGTGACTCCCCGCACACCTGTGTTCTGAAACTCCCGCTCCTCTCTAACACCTGCTCCCAATATCAGCTGGTTGGAGGGCGCGTCCCTTCAGGGCCCTGAGATCTAGGCAAGGAAGTCACTTTTGGACGAGGGAGGGCACTGTCGCTCCCTTACCTGCCAATGAGGAATGCCCACCTGGGGGTGGCACCTGAAACTGAGCCAGGCATTGCCGAGTTAGGGAAGGATTGGGTTTGGTGGGTAGCTCTGTTCAGGGCTGTCTGCCTGAGCAGCTGGGAGGCTGCACACACTGAGGTCTCAGACCACCAGGGAAGCTAGTCCAGAGTTCAGATTCCTGGGCACCTCCCCCTTCAGACCCCCCCAATCAGGACATGAAGGGTCCCAAGGCCCCAGGATATGCCTTTTACAAACTCCCCCAGAGATTCTAAAATGCAACAATGTTAGAACCACCGCCTCTCCCAGGGTCCTTCTCCCCTGTATGTCCCCAGACCCCTTCAAAAAGTTCACAATTTGGCCGGGCGCGGTGACTGAGGCCTGCAATCCCAGCACTTTGGGAGGCCAATGCAGGTGGATTGCTTGAGCCTGTAGGAGTTCGAGACCAGCCTGGGCAACATAGTAAGAGCCCATCTCTACAAAAAATTCTAAAAATTAGCCAGGCGGCCAGGCGCAGTGACTCACACCTGTAATCCCAGCACTTTGGGAGGCCAAGGCGGGCGGATCACCTGAGGTCAGGAGTTCAAGCCGTCTCTACTAAAAATACAAAAATTAGCTGGGTGTGGTGGCGCATGCCTGTGGTCACAGCTACTCGGGAGGCTAAGGCAGGAGAATCCCTTGAACCAGGGAGTCGGAGGTTGCAGTGAGTGGAGATCGCGCCACTGCACTCCATCCTGGTGACAGAGCTAGACTCTTTCTAAAAAAAAAGAAAAGAAGAAGAAGAAGAAGAAAAAGGCCAGGCACAGTGGCTCACACCTGTAATCCCAGCACTTTGGGAGGCTGGGGCAGGAGGATCACAAGGTCAGGAGTTTGAGACCAGCTTGACCAACATGGCAAAACTCCGTCTTTACTAAAAATACAAAAATTAGCCTCATGTGGTGGCGGGCGCCTGTAGTCCCAGCTACTTGGAAGGTTGAGGCAGGAGAACTGCTTGAACCCAGGAGGTGGAGGTTGCAGTGAGCTGAGAGCGTGCCATTGCACTCCAGCCTGGGTGACAAGGGCAAGACTCTGTCAATAATAATAATAATAAATTAATTAATTTTTAAAAAATTAGCCAGGCATGGTGGTGCACACCTGTAGTCCCAGGTACTTGAGAGGGAGGCTGGGAAGAGACGATGGCTTCAGTCTGGGAGGTCAAGGAAGGCTGCAGTGAGCCATGATCATGCCACTGCACTGCAGCAGGAGCAACACAGCAAGAACCTATCTCAAAAAAAAAAAAAAAAAAAAAGGAAAAAAAAAAGAAAAAGTTAATTTTTTTTTTTTTTTTTTTTTGAGATAAAGTCTAACTCTGTCACCCAGGCTGGAGTGCAGTGGCATGATTTTTTTTTTTTGCAACCTCTGCTTCCTGGTTTCAAGAGATTCTCCTGCCTCAGTTTCCCAAGTAGCTGGGACTACAGGCACGTGCCACCACACCCAGCTAATTTTTTATTTTTAGTAGAGATGGGGTTTCACCATATTGGTGAGGCTGGTCTTGAACTCCTGACCTTAGATGATCCGCCCACCTTGGCCTCCCAAAGTGCTGGGATTACAGGAGTGAGCCATGGTGCTTGGCCAAGTTATTTTTTTTTTTATGTGTCCCCTGCCCCAGGACCTGAAAGCTCCCAAAGAGAAAGGCCCTTTTTTTTTTTTTGTTCTTTTCCCTTTTCTCACCCGTGTACAACAAGCAGAGCCAGGCACACTGAGGCTGTGAGAGTGATGGGAAACATCTGTTGAATGAGTAAATGGCTCCACTGAGCAATTTTTTTTTTTTCAGAAAAATGCACATTTGGACACACAGAGTTTGAAAGCAACTTTAGGGCTTTTTTTTTTTGCTCACACCTGAAATCCCAGCACTTTGGGAGGCCAAGGTGGGAGGATTGTTTGAGCCCAGGAATTCAAGACCAGCTTGGGGAACACAGCAAGACCCTATCTCTACAAAAACACATATAAATATAAAAGTTTTAAAAATTAGCCAGGCGTGGTGGTGGACACCTGTGGATCCAGCTACTCAGGAAGCTGAGGTGGGAGGATTGCTTGAGCCCCAAAAGTCAAGGTTGCAGGGAGCTATGATTGTGCCAATGCACTCCAGCCTGGGCAACTGAGTCTCAAAGAAGAAAGAAAGCAAGAAGGGAAAGAGGAAGGAAGGAAGGAAGGCAGGCAGGCACAACTTTAGGAGGAATCACACCCCTGACCATTTATGCCTAGTGTTCCATTATTGGAACGCTACGCCTATGGGAGTTATTTATCTCCTATTGCTCAAGGTCATCGCCAAGGTCTGACTTATCAATTCAAAAAATTGCAACGTCAGGCATAAATGGGTTAAGCCCACCCATAGAAGCCCCATTAACAATAAGGTTGGCTGGGCGCAGTGGCTCATATCTGTAGTCCCAGGACTTCCGGAGGCTGTAGGCGGGCAGATCACTTGAGCTCAGGAGTTCAAGACCAGCCTGGGCAACATGGTGAAACTCCACCTCTACAAAAATTTTAAAAAATTAGCCAGGTGTGCTGGCATGTGCCTGTAGTCCCAGCTCCTCAGGCGGCTGCGGCAGGAGGATCGCTTGAGCCCAGGAGGTTGAGCTGCAGTGAGCCAAGATGGCAGCACTGCATTTCTGCCTGGGTGACAGAGACCCTGTCTCAAAAATAAATAATAATAATAATAATTTTTTTTTTTTTTCCTGTAATATTTGGAAACCACAGTCCTTCCGTGGCAGGGACGGAGATGGCCTGGAAGACATTGGATGCCCTTAGACACTCTGGGGCTGTGGGCAGGGAAAGCCCTTTTTTTTTTTTTCCCCATCAGCCTCCTACTTTTTATTTTGTTTTATTTTATTTACTTTGAGTTTTTTTTTTTCTCTGTTGCCCAGGCCAGAGTGCAGTAGCGCGATCTCGGCTCACTGCAACTTTCACCTCCCAGGTTCAAGTGATTCTCTTGCCTCAGCCTCCCAAGCAGCTGGGATTACAGTACCATGCCCCTGTAATTTTTGTATTTTTAGTAGCGACGGGGTTTCACTATGTTGACCAGGCTGGTTTCGAACTCCTGACCTCAAATGATCCACCCACTTCGGCCTCCCAAAGTGCTGGGATTATAGCTGTGAGCCGCTGTGCCTGGCCCAGCCTCCTTGTTTTTAAGTACAAAACAACTGGGGAAGAGACTGGTCTGAAGACTCAGACAGCTGAATTTGAACCCAGGACTCCAGACCCCCCGTTGGAGGCCCCTCCCCGCAGACCTGAACACTCCTCATCTGAGCTCTAATAACCTTTTTTTTTTTTTACAGTATCTTGATCGCTGCCTTCTGGGGTCTCCCCTGGGCTCCTCCTTCCCAGCTGGGCTCAGCCCCTCACCACCCTCCACAGAGGCGCTGAACCCTCCCTGCTTGTGATTTTTTTTTTTGGCTTCAGGTCAGACTGGGTTTCTGTCTAAGAGCAGCCTTCTCCACTGGTTTTTTTTTTTAGCCAGGACATGCTGGCAGAATTGTGCAACGTTGTTCTGAGCCGGAATCTTTTTTTTTTTATGACCAGTTATGAAGCACTCTTCTCGTGCCAGGGCCTGGAGTAATTGAAGTTTCAAAGTAGTTTTTGTCCACCCGAGATGGCAGGCAGAGAGCAGATTCGGGCCAGGGCACTGCGCTCAGCGCCTGCGTGCATTACCTGCAGGGACATCCCCACAGGCCTTTCGGACGTTTTTTTTTTTATCACTGTTTGACAAAGAAGTTAACTGTGGCTGGGAGCAGCAAAACGCCTTTTTTTTTTTTGTCAGCCGACCTGAGGGTGGCAGGGTTTGAACTCAGGCCGGCGCCCTCTTTTTTTTTTTCCCCTTCCCTCAATTGCCACCATCTGAGTGCAATTCGCTAGCTACTGGGGCACAGGAACCCGTGCGGGTCTCTGCCGCACCTGTCTTGCGGGGCCCAGCTGGGTGTCCGCCAAAGCACCAGGAGCGCCGAGTTCCGCGGCAGCGCAGAACCAGGTGAAGGCCTCGGTCATTTTTTTTTTTGGCCCGGGGAGGGTGGGGCTGCGAGCGCTCGCCCCGGCGGCCTTTGCGCTTTTTTTTTTTCCCGGCCTCCGGAGTCCCCCGGCTGGGGGTGGGCGGTGTCCGGCCAAGATTTTTTTTTTTCACCCCCGCGCCCAAGCCCCGCCCGTGCGGTGGCCCCTCCTCGGGAAGGTTTTTTTTTTTTTCTCGGGGAGCGGCCCGCAGAGCCAGTGGCCGTCGTGCGCCCCGCCCCTTTTTTTTTTTGACCCGGCGCCGCTGCCGCGCAGCACTAGGAGCTCCCCGCGCCGCCGCTTTTTTTTTTTTGCTCCCTCCCGCCCCTCGGTGCGCGCCCGGCCCGCCAGCCGCCACCGCCTTTTTTTTTTTCGCCACCATGAACTCGCTCTTCAGGAAGAGAAACAAAGGCAAATACAGCCCCACTGTGCAGACCCGGAGGTGAGGAGGCGCCCGCAGCTCCGTTCCGGGACGCTCTTGCTTTTTTTTTTTCACAGGACCGGGAAGACCGCCCGGGCAGTGTAGGAATGGGGGTCACGGGGGCCCAGGAACAGGGGACTGAACCGGGAGTGCAAGACTCGCGGGAACGTGGGACCGAGGCCACCCTGAAGCTGGGAAGCACCGCCGGGTGGGAGGGGACTGGCTGGGGCACCCGAGGGGGTTTTTTTTTTTGGACTTCGAAGACTCCGGGAGCCCAGGGAGCATTGCCTTGAGGGCCTAGTTTTTTTTTTTCTGAGCTGGGGGTACAGGGCACCCCCGTGTCCCAGGGTCGCTCTTGAGCAGAGGGTCGCCCAGGACCGGGAATAGCCACCTGGATGCGGGGGCGGAGTTTTTGGAGGACTTTTTTTTTTTGGCGGGGTCGCCGTGGGCGACCCAGGAAGCTCCGTCCAGGGGGCGCCCTTTTTTTTTTTTATTGAGCTGGCGTCGGAGGGGTGCTCTCCAGTGCCTCTGAGACCGCGCATTTTTTTTTTTCGTCGGAGAGGCAAGGGGGTGGGCCACCCCCCGCTGCACTTCCCGGCATTTTTTTTTTTTCGCTCCAGAGCCGCGCTCAGAGGCCCTGGGGGGTGCGGGGTCGGGTCGAGGGGCACACGGGCAGGCACCCCCTTTACCTCCCCACCCTCTGGGTTCTGAGCGGAGGTTGTTTTTTTTTTTGGCCTCCTCTTCGAAGCTCGGTTTCTCAGGGGTGTGGCTCCCTGCCCCCTTTTTTTTTTTGAAACTGGCGGTGTCTCTGAGCCGTGGGTTCCCAGGGCGGCCTGGGAGGTTTTTTTTTTTTCTTGATGTGTTTGCAGTGAGAAGCAGCCCACGTCCGTTTTGATAAGCCTTTTTTTTTTTCTTAATAACCTGTTTAGGGGAGCCTGGTGGAGATGCTGAGATTGATGGATTTTTTTTTTTTCCAGCCCCTGCTTTATCCCCCCACTTCTGAAAACAGAATGGGTGCTCTTTTTTTTTTTTGACCATTTTGCCAGCTTCTTGGACAAGAGGCTTCAGGCAGGTGAGGGGCCCGCAAATTGCATGGCTCTCCTGGCTGGGAGTTCTGCCCCCAAGCTGCTCTCACTGGGAGCCCACAATGTGCCCTCCAGCAGCTCCTCACTCCCTCCCTAGGCCCCAGAGGAAGGCAAGGAGAGGCTTCTGGGCCCAGGGCTCCCACCCAACCCCTGCAGTTCGGCCTAGGCCGACCAGTCCGACAGGTGCAGGCGGTGGGGCCCTGGCATGCTGGAGTGCAACACTCCATTCCCTGGCCTTTTTTTTTTTTCAGAAGCCCCCCTGCCCTGTGATCCCACCCACCCATATCTCCATTTGGTTTTTTTTTTTCTCAGAGGCATTTCCCCCCTTCAGAGATTTCCCCACCCCTCCCCTATCTTTTTTTTTTTTAGAGACTGGGCAGGGCCTGCCTGCTGCTCCTCCGTGGCCGCGTCCAGCTGGCACTCGGACCCAGCTGGGGGCCCGTCCAGTCCCTGCACTGTTCCCTGGGGCATTGCACTTTTTTTTTTTCTGTGCCAGCCGTGGAGAACCGTTCTGTCCTCTCCACCCCAGAGACTAGTTTTTTTTTTTCCTTCACACATGCAGACACCCACACACCAGGAGTGGGGCCAGGCCTCGCTTTTTTTTTTTCCTCCCCCCGCCCTCTGCCTCCCCCCAGCCTCCCTCCTTTCTGCAGCTTTTTTTTTTTTTAGGCCTCAGCTTGGACCTAACAAAAGGTTGTAATGAACCCAGACAAGCTTTTTTTTTTTTGGGCTTTCCTGAAAGTGTGAGGATGAAAGGCATCCCATCCTTTATAGCTTTTTTTTTTTTGAGGGTCTGGGATGGCAAAGAGTTGGGGTCCCGCCACTCTCTGTATCCCTGGCCCAAAGCAGCCGCCGTCTGTCCTAGACTGACAGCCATTGGTCCCAGGTCTCCACTTAGATGTCTCTTTCTCCAGGAAGCCCTCCTGATTCTGTCCCTCAGCATGGGGTGAAAGACCATTCCTTTGAGCCTTGCCACCCCAGCACAGAATGAGCACAGCCACAGCTCTGAGCAGGTGTCAGATGCCTCCCCGGGTGGTCTCCAAGCCCAGTGCATCCCTCTGCCCCCTCCCCTTAGTTTTTTTTTTTTCTTAGACTAGATTGTGGGGTGGAGGTAGTCCTGTACCCAGTTCTCTCAATTTTTTTTTTTGAGCATTGCCTGATGCCCAGCTAACCCCATAGCATGTGTCTTGGTTGGGGGTGGAAGGGACAGACTTGTGGCTCTAGGCTGTGGTCGCTGGTCACAGGAAGTGGATCTCTTTTTTTTTTTTTCACCCCGAGTTTTCCAGGGGCCCGCTCCATTGTTTGGGGGAGAACAAGGTTGCTGGTGAGATTCCGCATGGTGGGGCAGGTAGGAGCTCCAGCACCACGAGCAGAAGGTCTCACTGTTGATCCTGGCATCTCCACCCTGGAGCCTCTGGAAGCCTTGTTTTACCTTTTTTTTTTTTTTGGGTGGTGATACTGAGTGTCTCATGCATAGGGCTGCTGGGAGGAGCAGGGCACAGCACACGGGAGGTGCCCGGATGAGGGTTAGCACCCCTTTCCGGGCCCAGGGTACCCAGGAGCCCCAAGTTGTGACTTTCACACCCAAGGTAGTCAGGCCTTTGGACTACAAAGTGTTTTTTTTTTTATGAAACACCCCGCCAAGAAAGCCACCCCTTCCAGTTTGTCCACCTGGGTTTTTTTTTTTTGTGAACCCCGTTGCTCCCGTTGCCCGGGTTCCTAATGACAGGTGTGAGTTTTTTTTTTTACACCTGAGCTAATGACAGAGTCAGGCTGGATGGTGCGGGTCACCGAGGTTTTTTTTTTTCCTAGCAGAAAAGCCCCGGAGGAGACCCGCTCCCACCCCCCTGGCTGTGTTTTTTTTTTTGAGCTGCTTGACTTCTCTGAGCCTGTTTTCTCACCTGTGGGATAGGAATTTTTTTTTTTTCTGCTTGGAGATATTGACTGAGGATTAAATGAAATAATGCAGGGGAAAGTTTTTTTTTTTTTTTTTAAGAGGCCTCAGGTAATGGCAGCTATGACAATTAGAGTTATTTTTTTTTTTTTTTTTTTTTTTTTGAGACGGAGTCATGCTCTGTCGCCCAGGCTGGAGTGCAGTGGCCGGATCTCAGCTCACTGCAAGCTCCGTCTCCCGGGTACACGCCATTCTCCTGCCTCAGCCTCCCAAGTAGCTGGGACTACAGGCGCCCGCCACTTCGCCCGGCTAGTTTTTTGTATTTTTTAGTAGAGACGGGGTTTCACCATGTTAGCCAGGATGGTCTCGATCTCCTGACCTCGTGATCCGCCTGTCTCGGCCTCCCAAAGTGCTGGGATTACAGGCTTGAGCCACCGCGCCCGGCCCCAACAATTACAGTTATTAAGCAGATGCGGGCAAGGTGGCTGTGGTATACCCAGGGTTAAACTTGATATCATGGTGGACAGGCTATGTACCGCACAATTCCATAGGCACTGTTGCTGAGGGTTAGCAGGTGGAGGAGACGTTAACCACCTCCCTGCACTTGAGTCGCTGGCAGTCACATCAGAGAGTAAGATGGAGTCAAGCTTCAGTACATGTATGGTTATGTGAACATCGGGCTGATAGGGCCAGGCAGGAGCAATGGAGCGTAGAGCCGGACAGATGAGGTCTCCAGCCTGGCCACTTGCTTGCTTTGTGACTCGCCTGAAGTGAGAACTGTCACAGTCAGAGCACAGATGCTGGGAGGTGAGGGAGGACTTCCCAGAGGAGGCATCTGACCTGTCACGGGGCAGGATGGAGTGGCGAAGACCCAGCTCTGCAGTCAGGCTGAATTCTGCCTCTATTTTAAAAGAAACAGCCTCCCTGAGTCTCAGTGCTTCTGCATCTGTTGAATGGGATTAATCTTGCCCCTCCACCCTGATCTGGGTCCCAGTAAACACCCAGCAGCCTGGCCTCACCTACACAGGTCTTGCAACACTGGCCCAGCCCTGATGGAGTGCTCCTGCATGGGAGGCAGGACCCCAGGCTTTGAGGGTAGAGCTGGCAAAAGGGAAGCATGCTCTACTGGGAGGCACCGGGGGTACCCTGAGCCTCTTGGTGGTTAAGCACACAGTGTTTTATTAGCTGGGCATGGTGGTGGGTGCCTGTAATCCCAGCTACTCAGGAGGCTGAAGCAGGAGAATCACTTGAACCTGGGAGGCAGAAAGCCCTCCTGATTCTGTCCCTCAGCATGGGGTG